CGGGTTTGGTATCATGCTCTTGAGCATGTACTTTTCAAGCATGGTTTCACAAGGTCCATGAGAGACAACGCTCTGTACTTCATGCACACGAGTGAGGGGGAGTACATTTGGCTCTTGGTATATGTCGATGACCTCCTCCTAGTCTCAGGTTCTCTTGATCTTCTCAACAAGGTGAAAGGTATTCTCACAAGTGCATTCACGATGACCGATCTTGGTGAGCCGAGTCATTATCTTGGTATGAACATTGTGAGAGATCGTAAGTCACGGTCCATCTTCCTATTCCAGCAAAGGTACATCCAAAAGGTCCTTGAGAGGTTTGGTCTTGATGATAGCAAGCCATCACCTACCCCACTTCCTTCCAACTTTGTCCCTTTGTCTTCACATCAGCCCTATGAAGAGAGAGAGTCAATCCTTGATATCATAGGTATTAAGGAGTTGTGTCTTGAGGAGAGTGAGCATCATGGTGAGAATTTACTTAAGGTATCCCCAAAAGTCCTAGCTCTCTACCAAAGTCAGGTTGGGTGTCTCATGTATGCAGCCCTATGCACAAGGCCCGACTTAGCATTCACGGTATCTAAGCTAGCTCAACACATGAGTGCCCCTTCACCTATTCATATGCATGCAGCCAAGCGAGCTCTTTGGTATCTCAAAGGTACTTCTAATCATGGTCTTCTCTTCTAAGCCAGCCCATATGCAAGCTCCCTCCAAGGCTTTACCGATGCAGATTGGGCGGGAGAATTGAGCACACGCAAGTCTACCGGCGGCTACATCTTCCTCATGTGTGGTGCCGCTGTTTCTTGGCAATTGCGCAAGCAAAGTTGTGGGGCACTTTCAACAACCGAAGCTGAGTACATGGCAATGACCGAAGGAGCAAGGGAGGCAATCTGGTTACGTGGACTCTTGGAGGACTTGAGGCAGCCGCAAACTCAACCAACTCCGCTCTACGTGGACAACAATTCAGCCATAGCTCTTTCCAAGAACCCAGATCATCATGGGCGTACAAAACACATCGAGGTGCAGTACCACTTCATTCGTGAGCAACTAGAGAAAGGAGTTCTCGCCGTCAACTTTTGCCGTTCATTCGATCAAGCAGCAGATTTCATGACCAAGGTTCTTCCACATGATGCATTCAACATGTGCAAGGCAAGAGCAGGCCCCATGACACTTCATGAAGCAGTAGAGCAGTTTGAGGAGAATGAGGAGTGTGAGGGGAAGAGACGTGGGCAGCAGCATGAAGTGTATGCTAAGGAGATGTGAAAGGAGCATCATCATGGGTGTATGTGTGCTTCGGGTCTGGTGCGAGGGGGAGTGTTGGAGAATCGAGTTTCTGCCGCCCCAGCCCTTTGCACACAAGCAGCAGCAAGGGGGAATGTCGGCGATGAATCAGAGGCTTTGGGAAGTACTTCGAAAGTTCCACCACCAATCAGATTTCAGCCGAAGACTCGATACAGTTCAAAGCTGCCTTCAAACCGAAGTGTTGGCAGTTTCTACAGGTTTCTACACATCAGAATCAGCTATGACAGAAATATCCAGAGTTTTCTTATTCATGCACCTCATGTGGCACTCAAAGTCACTCAAGGTCCATCCAATCTAGATTGTGCCCAAGTTACCAGGGAAGTTACATTGTCTATCAGCCTAGTTTGAGCTTTCAATCTGTCTTGTTTGTGATGCCTATAGAGTTGTGCTTTAGTGGGCTTGTTAATCTTGAACATAGTGAAGTTTTACCTCATCCAGTCAATTCCAGCAGCCCTGCTAAGACTTTCTAGCCAAGTTTCCAGCCCTCCAGTAGTCACAGCTACTCTGTTTTACAAGTCGCAGGTCGACTTCAGTTTAGTGTCCAACTTCCTTCACACCGTTTGAACTAGGACACACGATTCCCTCGCGAATGTTTAGGAGAGCGCAACGAAACGGGTTACCAGCAAAAGTTCGACCCGATTCTCGAACGTCTACATCAAAAGAGACGCGCCCTTAGTTACTGAAGTATACAAATCATAACATGAGATTGAACTGCATTCAAGCCGAGACGATTGCTGTCCTACGTTCAGAACGGTGGAGTCAACCCGCATAAACGAGGAAACCAGTAATTTGGAAATGCGCTCAAACACAAAAGTGATACATGCATTTGCAGCTAACAAAAAATATAAACAAGAGTTAGAAGTAATCAATAATACTGCATCATGTGTTAGGGGCACACAATTGATTCAGCGCACTTCGAGGTGAAAGAGTACTAGGGACTAGCACACGCGCCGCACAGGAGAGGCGGGGAGATGCAGGCAGATCGCAAAGAAAAGGGCATAAGGTGAAAGCGTCAACCCGCTGCTGTCTTCTGCTGTCTGCCGCTGCTGCTGCCCACTGCTGATTTCGCCATTCAACGGGCTACCCGAGAGTATGTACATCATAGTTGAAAGAAGACCATTTGATTTTTTGGACCCAATGCTGCTGGTTGGCTCAAGGCCCAGCCCAAAACAACCGAAGCGACCTCAAATTGGGTCTAATATTGTTTGGTAACACAGAAACAGTGTTTATGTAGGGATGGTAGAGCAAGAGTGTCCATACAAGACGGCACAATCGCATCACCACCATCTGTGTGACCGCATCCCACCCAACCCATGATGGATGGAAGCTTCATCGCCCCCATGATCTTCAGTTATGTTGCACAGTACACTATCACATGATTTCCATAAAAACTTCTAGTATCAGGAGAAACCTAACGAGTCGAAGAAAATCAACGTAGCCCTCCGATCACCAGTAACGATTTTCGCAGTACTCAGTTATATCACTCACCAACAACAGACTTAGCACCAGTCAAACACAGTCAATGTCATGGGGACACCGACATGAAATTGTTAAGACACTCTGATCGAGACGCGGAAGGAATGAAAACGGTTGTTCAACTGCGACAACTGTCACAGCTTGTAGCTGAATAGGTGGATGCCTCCTGCACGACAACATGCGTTTCGTTACACAGAGGCTTCCCGATTACAGCATAGAAAATCCCGCCACGTTTGGAAAACTACGTTGACAGCCGCAACTGTGGGCATTGATCCGCTTTGACAGCCAGAGAGAGCTACGGCGTGTGCAAAGTGCTGCATGTAGCTCGACGTCGGGCTACGTCGAGGTTGCTGGGCAAGGTAGGTGAGCTAAGGGGTGCCATTTCTGTGTTCAAAGTACGCTTCAAAAATTGCTGACGCCAGCATCGCCATTTGTACGGAATTGTGCAATGATGATGGACACAGAAACGGTCAACCAAAATAAACTTGAGCGAATCTTTACAGTGTTTGCCAGACCACGTTAGACAAATTCACAGATTGGCATGAACTGTAATCTCAAACATTGCGAACATTTTCATTGCGTGATGAGATGTTCGCAAACAATAAACGCTCTCGAAAAAGCATTTGCGATTTCAGGTTTTGGTCCCAATTCAATTCTTCGACAGTCTCAATTCAATTGTTACTATTAAGGCCGGCATTTGTCCTGAGCGGACAGTTCGTCGCCGGCAATGTGTTCAAAGTGTGCCATTCGACGTCGACCGACGTCAGAGGCTTGACGTCACTCGACGTCGATCTCCGACGTCAAAACTGCGTCCAAAATACGTCGAAATACTTCGCACCGCCATGAGCATGGTTTAGGCCCAGAATTCGAGCTGAAGCTACTGTACAATATTACAGATTGTTGGGAAAAAATAAACTCATAAGAGCTGTCATCTCGACCTCCACGACTGTACCAGAGTGGACTGGGAGTGCTCACATGGACTAGGATTCTAGAAGGAATGACAGAATCGTATCCGATGAAGGATGCCTCAGTTGGTATCCACAACGAATGGATGGAAAGGGTTTGTGGTGAGGACGACCACTCCACTTGACGCTCTGATCCTTCGAAGTTGGCAGCAATTCAATTATCTATTCTTTGACAACCAATCGACAAAATAACTCTGACTCTTATTAAACAGGGTAGAGGCAGCTGATGTCCTTCTCTTCATTCTGACAAACTGTAGCCCACATTCTGTATCATTTCATTCATGTACACCCTGTTTCGCGCCACACTGACATTCGCCATATTGACAAGCCGGTTGTACTGACATCAATGCGTCCAAAGTGGTCCCAGAACATACCGTATATGCACTTTTGCCGCACGAAACCGAACTCAAAAAAACGTTTGTTTTATAAACCGTTGTCTACCGTTCTCCTGAAGTGCATTTCGGTTGCAAGCACCAGCCCGCTGAATCCAAGCACACGTGCGCACTGTAGCCGGGGCTCCCGATTGTTCAAACATCGAGAAACAGGGTGTAGCATCAGAAACAAAGGGGGGGTCACCTACACATCTCTGCTTGAGAGCACCAGAATCACTGCCTGCTTCTGAGTTCTTCACCAGCGCTACTACCGCGGTACCTGCGCTACATTTGAGACGTCTCATAAATAGGTATCTACCGCGGTACAACTGCAAAACGCAGGTGTAGAAGTACTAGTAACATGATGGACCTGTGGCAGATCATCTGAAGAACTATGATGAAGTAAAGTCAACTTTTTGAAGAATTTGCTACCAGAGCAGCTCAAAAGCTCAGAACCGCGGCCATGGAACCGTGCTTCGCCCATTCGGAGCGCTTAATAGGAAGCCCAGGCGCATCGCCCGCGGAACGCAACGATGACCGCACTACGAGAAGTTTTCGTACTAGTACTAGTTCAAGCACCAGTAGTAGAGATCAACGTGAAAGCAGCCCTCTGCTCGAGTCTCAGACTCTTTTCACTGGCACGGCGACGTCGGACGGGGATCGGAACGTGCCCACAGGCGGTGAAACTTTAAGTCCCTCAGGGTGCCACGGTGGCACTACCGTAGTGACGGATCATCACATTACTAGTAGCAGTACCACTAATATTGCTAGTCATAGTACTAGTAATGGCTCTACTCCGAGTCGTAGCAACGACGGTCCTAATACCACTCCAGCCGCAGAACACGCCGGAATTGCGTGGGAAGGCGGCAGGGACGCGCCGGCGCCGCCGGGAATGGCGGCGGTGGTAGGCAGCGACGGTTTGCGCAAGGGGCCGTGGACGGCCGTGGAAGACGAGCTGCTGTGGCAGCACGTCAGACAGGTGCGCCAGCGCCGCGCCGCCATGCCTGTTTTTTGAAACAGAAGGGGGCATACCACGATCATCATATCATGAGATGGTATAATTGGGAGGCCCATAACCGCCCGTTGGACAACGCTATGACAATTAGTCAGATTGTCTCCCCTGTCCACCTTTCCCTCTCCCAACCTCTCCCAACCTCTCCCAACCTCCGAAAATCACCTTAATGCCTGGTCACGGAGGAATCCTCAAAATCCCTCCTACCTTCCCACCCAGCAGTCCGACTGGAGCAGTCCTCCACACCTAGTACCCAACTTGAAAATCCTCGTCGAGGCAGCGGAGCTTTCCCATCCCCCCTCATTCTCCTCCCCTCTCCCCCCTCCCCCATTCTCTCCTGGCAGTACGGAGAGGGCAACTGGAACCTTGTGCAGCAGCACACGGGCTTGGCGCGCTGTGGCAAGAGCTGCCGGCTGCGGTGGGCGAACCAGCTCCGGCCGAACCTGAAAAAGGGCGGCATCACAGCAGAGGAGGAACGCACCATAGTTCGCCTGCAGCAGAAGTACGGCAACAAGTGGGCGCGGATCGCCTCGCATGTACGTGCTAGGATGGCCTGGGACTGGGGGTGCCAGTCCCACTGGGACGGTGATCTTGTCTGGTGTGTTGTGTTGTGTGTGTGTGTTTGTGTGTGTGTGTGTGTGTGTGTGTGTGTGTGTGTGTGTGTGTGTGTGTGTGTGTGTGTGCGCGCGCGCGCGCACGCGTGTGTGTGAGTGTGTGTGTGAAAAGGAGAGAGAATCACCCTCACCTTCCTTCGTCCCACTGCGTTTCCACCACCCTCCACCACCCGCCATCGCTCCCCTCATGCAGCTATCAGGTCGCACAGACAACGAGATAAAAAACTTTTGGAACACGAGACTAAAGCGCCGCAACAGAACCAGCATCTTCTCGTCCGCTCTCGGTTCCTCCGGCCCTCGCAACGTGGTCATTGCTCCCAGAATTCTAGTGCCACCATCGTCCCCCGGGGCTGGGTCAGCCCCTCACATTCTAGGGGGTGTGCCTTCTGCGTCCTCTGCTCTCGGCTCGAGTAATCCTGAGCACGCAGCACGAGTAGCCGCTCCAATGATGTTTCGCAACGCTTCCCAGGCTTCTCTTCCTCCTCCCCCTCTTCCTCCTCCAACTCTTCCTACTCCTTCCCTTCCTTCTCCTCCTCTTCCTTCTCCTCCCCTTCCATCTCTTCCTCCTCCTTCTCACCCTCTTCCGTCTCCTCCTCTTCCTTCTCCTCCCCTTCCCTCTCCTCCTCTTCCTTCTCCTCCCCTTCTTTCTCCTACCCTTCCCCCTCACACGCCTTCTCTTTCGCTTCGTCCCCCTCCTCCTCCTACAACGCCCTCACCTCCTCCCATCACTATGGCGGCTCCTCCTTCTCAGACGATTGGAGGAGGGCAGACGGCAAGTGTACATATCCCGGGAATTCAGCACAGCCAACTGCCGTGCAACACTTATGCCACCTTCCCAATTCAGCAGCAGCAGCAGCAGCAGCAGCAGCAACAGCAGCATCTACCATCAATCCATAGCAACCCAAGTACCAGCAGGAACGAGGGCACGGCTCAGCCACAGCAAACAGCAGCAGCAGCAACAGCATGGCACTCCAGTGGAAGCGGCATCAAGGAAACCATGGTCACTGCTGGAACCACCTATCCTCACCCGGGTCCCCTGGTAAGAGGCGAGTGGCAGCAGCTGCTGCTGGGGACCAGCAGCGAAGAAGACGAGATGGCCAGGGGGGAGCACGCAAGGGGGCAGACGCCGGGGGATGCGAGTGCCATGGCGGTGGATGCGAGAGTCGTGCGGCTGCTGGCGAGTCAGAAGCAGGTTCGTCCAGAGGTGCTCTGTGCTTCCTCAGATGTTAATCCGGGCGCCTCTGCCTCAGTTGCTGGCGGTAGTGGTGGTGGAATTGGTGGGAATGGCGGAGCAGCGAGAGGAAGAGGAGGAGGAGATGGGGCTTGTAAGTCTGCTGCAGTGGCTGCTACGATTGTGTGGGGCGTGAACTTTCCGCTGGCATCGCTGCTGCACGCACCCGCTCCCTCTCGCTCTGTGCTCCAGCCGCAACAGCAGACCCAGCAACAATGGCAGCAGCATCAGAAGCAGCAACAGCAGAAACAGCAGCAACAGCAGCAGCAGCAGCAGCAGCAGCAGCAGCAGCAGCAGCAGCAGCAGCAGCAGCAGCAGCAGCAGCAGCAGCAGCAGCAGCAGCAGCAGCAGCAGCAGCAGCAGCAGCAGCAGCAGCAGCAGCAGCAGCAGCGAATGACTGCACGGCCCGCTGTAGGGAGGATCGACGGCGGTACTGCACTAGTGTTCACCACTCCTACTAGTTGGGATGCAAGGGGCGGAGCATCAGAGATCGCAACGGCACATGAACAGCAGCAAGCACACCGGCATGCATACACGCACGGGCAGGAGGACGGTATTGGGGGCAGTAGTGGGGGTGACATGGGGGGTGTGATGGGTGGTATGGGGGATGCAGTGGTGGGAGAGGAGGATGGAGAAATGATGGACCAAGATAAGGTGGAGAGGGTGGGTAGACTGAAGGCTGGAATGTCGGAGTCTGACGGACTGAGTGGCGCGGGGGTTACGACTGATAATACCCCCATGAGTTTTGAGGGTATTGGCAGAGGTGGCCCCACGGGCGGATGCGGGTACAACCCATCCGACGGGGACAGTTGGATGGCAGAGGCGATGGATGTGTGGCTGGGTGGTGGCGCTCATGCCACGCATGGCACCCACGCTGGTCAACCCGGTCAGCCTGGTCAACTCGGTCAACCTGGTCAATCTGGTCAACTTGGTCAGAGTGGCGGTGACGAGCTGGAGCAGGTGGTGCTGGCAGCACAGGGCGGCACAGGGCACAGTGTTGTCACTGCTACTGTGTCTGGGCCAAACAACATCGGAGCTGTGAGGAGCCAAGAGAGCAGCGGGTGGAGTGGGCGCAGAGAGGGCAGGGAAGGCACTGAGAATGCTGGTGGACTGGAAGCAGCAGCAGCAGCAGCAGCAGCAGCAGCAGCAGCAGCAGCAGCAGCAGCAGCAGCAGCAGCAGCAGCAGCAGCAACAGGCACAGAAGAAGCAGCAAGAGGTGCAAGAGCGGCGGGTGCAGCATGTGTGTTTTCAGGGCCGGTGGAGGCATTTCTTGACAGCCACTGGCAGCCGCTGCTCCAGGATGCTGCCCTGCTCTCTCACACACAGCGGCCGCAACAGGAGCAAGTCGTGCCAAATCTGCAGGGGCAGCAGCAGCAGCAGCAGCAGAAAAGGATCAAGCTGGATGCACTGGGTCGGCAGCAGTCCCTGCCTCAGCCGGAGCTCCACCAGCCACTCTCACGGCTAGTCACCAGGCGCGGATCCCTGCCTGACATGCTCCATGCACTGCCAGCCCCTACGCTCCAATGCACCGATCACTCGGGCCATGGCTCTCGCAGTGTTGCTGCTGCTGCTGCTGCAGCAGCAGCTGTCTCCCACCTGCAGATTGATGCACCTGCAGGCGCAGCAGCAGCAGCACAAGTGCAGAGGGGGCGTGGCATGGGGCATGCGGCATCTCTCCCTGCGTCCCCTGCGAGAGAGGGATGTGCGAGTGTTCCGACCTTCTCGCACTTTTGGCACTTGGGGTCACGACCCCATAGCAGCCTTGCTGCTGCTGCAGCAGCAGTGACAGTGGCAGGACCCGCATTGGCAACAGCTTCTTTTCCTGAAGCAGCAACAGCTGAAGCTGGCACTGACATTGATGTAACGAGTTCCCCAATGACTAGCTCGGCTCATCCCACCACAAATAACAATAATGTGCAGCATGCAGGAGTGATGGAGTGGAGAGGTGATAAGATCCCATCAGAATCCCGAGTATGGATTGTGGGTGTTCATTCACCATCGGTGTTTTGGGATATGGAGTCACAGTTACTCGCACAAACACCGCCACTTGCCCACGTCGCCTATGGTAAGTCTTCCGAGTTGCAATTTAGGGAGCCATATGGCAATTGTCCCTCCACTGGATCAAGTTTCTTACCGAAATGATTTGAGTCCCGGTTAACAATGTTTACATTGCTTTGAATATTGCTTGTATATTGTATGATTATTCATATTTACTTCCATGAAGTGGAACCCATCCATCGTGTTTTACTGCGCATTTCATGCGGTTGCCTGACAGAAACGAGGCCTTCATAAAGTTGACCTAATGAATGGAGGTTGTCCACAGTCAGGTAAAACGAGCCACATCACCTTCGCAAAATACTACACTCTAGCAAGTATTCGTAAGTAATTGTTACGGGTGCATTGAATCGAGGTAGCGAGGATTGCATTTAAGTGTTCAATGAGTACAAAGCATGGGCGAAAACTTATACGCAAAATTATGCAAACGGTAACACGGTGCGTGCGAGCTAGCTAGTGCTATGCTAGCGCGAGGTTTCGCGCTAGTCCCAAAGCGTAGGCCGACTCGGCTGCTCTATCAGTGCGAGGTTTGGTGACACAGTGCGCGCGAAGTTGGCGAAGCCCTGTTAGAAGTAACGGGCGAACAACGGCTGCTGCTGTACGTGATGTTGATGGTCGTGGTAAGGAATGTCGAGAAAATTCCTTACACTACTCCCCCCCCTCAAGAAGCCCCCTCCGCTACGCGAGTGTGCGTATATCGCGGAATGGTCCACAGTAGCGCGGTCGTAATTTCGGCACGACGGGAAGTCTTAAGTTCTGTGTGTCGAGGAATACGTAATCTCCTGACTGGTACGTGACTGGGCGGCGGTGGCGGTCAGCGTTGCGTTTAGCGATGGCGTTGGCTTTTTGAATTGCTTCGGTGGCTCTGGTGCGGGCAGCTTGCAGAATCTCAGCGAATTGCTATGCACGTGGCGTTGGGTTGTCCGGACTCGGCGTCATGGGCACTGTTGGGTTTTGCCCGTAGTTCAGGTAGAACGGGGACTGCTGCGTCGTCGCTGACGTGGCGTTGTTGTAGGCGAACTCGATCAGCGGCAGCTGCTTCTCCCAAATTGTCGGGTCGTCGCACGTGGCACGAAGCAACTGCTCCATCGTATGATTCGTCCGCTCCGTTTGACCGTCGGTCTCGGGGTGGTACGACGAGCTGAACTGTAGCCTGGTCCCAAACTACTCCCAAAGGTTCTTCCAGAAATTGCTGGTAAACTTCTTGTCACGGTCGCTGATGATTGGGGCTGGTTTCCTCTGTAGTCGAATGACGGTTGCGATGAACATGCGAGCGGTTTCTTCGGCTGATATTGATTTCCTGCACGCAGCGAAATGAGCCATTTTCGTCAGTCTATCAATGACGACCATTACCGTGTCGTTACCCCCAGGGTTCGAAGGTAACCCTATGACAAAATCCATTGTAACTTGCTGCCAGGCGCGCTCGGGCGGTGGAATTGGCTGCAACTGACCCGCCTTTCTTTTTTCGCGAGCTCTTCATCACCTGACACGTAGGACACGAGCCCACGTGGTGTTGTACGTCGGCAAATAGCTCCGGCCAATAGTAATACCGTTGCAGTTGTTGTCGCGTTTTTTCTACCCCGAAGTGACTTGAGGTAACCCTGTCGTGTGTCTCCTGTAGTAGCAGTTCCCTCAGTAGTGAGTACGCGGGTACCCAAATGCGGCTGGTGCCTGACTTTATGTGATAGACTCCTTCGGCCTCTACCAGGTGCTGTGAATTTCCGGTCGTGAAAAATGGGCCGGTACTGTATCAGTGGGTGAATAGGCCTGTTGGGTTGGTTTGGGTGAGTAGGACGGCGTGGAGTTGGGCTTGTGGGCGGGTGAGTGCGTCGGAAATATTTGATGCACCTTTTTTTTGTGTAACTGTGTAGTGGAAAATTGGACTCCAGATAGTCCAACAAGTGGATCTGTCGCAGACTGAGATTCGGTTGGGCACGGAGGTACTGTAGGGATTGGTGGTCTGTGTCAGTGGTCCATTGGTGATCCCCGATTGATCCTAGGAAAGGGCTACAGGCTCGTTGTCCTGGGGGGTTATGGGCGCACTGACCCGCTACTTAACAAGCCCTTTTATCCCAATGGTCTAGTGGCTGGGATTCTGACAGTCTGTCCGTACTATCACATCGGCACCGGTCAGGTAACTTCGCCACACTTTGAGCGCGTGCACGATCGCCAGCATCTCGCGGTCGTGTATCGGGTAGTTGCGTTCGGGCGGGGAAGCTTGCGGGACGCGTACGCGATTGGCTGGAGGCCGTACCCGAAATCCTGCAATAGTACAGCTCCCACAGCGATGTCACTTGCGTTGGTGACGAGCTCGAACGGACGGTGCGGGTCTGCGATGTGAAGTACAGGCGGCGAGCACAAGATTTTCTTGAGGGCCGAGAAGGCAGCTGGCTCTTTCTCCCTCGTGTGAACTGTTCCTAGGGCCCACCGTTTTTTTTTCCTGCCCGGAGCGCACTCAGCCCCTGCCCGAGTCGCGCTCCCCTCTCTCTCGGCCCCTAGCGGCCCAGTCGCGCCGCCCTTACGGCCCCGCCGCGTCGCGCCGCCCTTGCGGCCCCGTCGCGTCGCGCCGCCTTCGCGGCCCCGTCGCACCGCCCTCGCGGCCTCATCGCGTCACCCTCGCGGCCTCTTCGCGCCGCCCTCGCGACCTCTTCGAGCCGCCCTCGCGGCTCCGTCGCCCCACCCTCGCGGCCCCGGCGCCGCTCTTACCGGCCCAGGCGCCGCCCCTACCGGCCCCGTCGCCCTACCCTAGCGACCCCGCGGCCCCACCCTCGCGGCGCCAGTCGCCACCCTTCGTGGCCCCGCCGCCGCCCTTAGCGGCCTCATCGCCGCCCCACCCGGCCCCGCCACCGTCCCTTCAGCGGCTCTGCTGCCCTTCCCGGCCCCGCCATAACCGCCGTTGCCGCCGAGCCGCCGTAGCCGCCGAGCCGCTGTTGCCGCTGTCCCGCCGAGCCTCCGTTGCCGCCGAGCCACCGTTGCCGCCGAGCCGCCGTAGCCGCCGAGCCGCCGTTGCTGCCGTTGCCACCGAGCCGCCCGAGCCGCTCTGTCCGCTCTGCCCGGTCACTGCCGTCGTGGCCCTGTTCCTGCCGACGAGCCTCGGTCCTTCTCACCAGCCCGGTAAGAGTAGCGCCTCTACCACTGCACTGCCCTTAGCCTACTGCTCGCGCTACTAGTCCACTGCACTGCCCTTAGCCTACTACTGTCATGGCTACCCCTAGTGTCCTCACTTTTGACGCTGAGGGTTGGGCCATCGACTTTGACGTCTGGGTAGATGACCTGCAGCTTTTCCTACAGTGCGATAGGGCAGACGGTCTCTCCCTCTTTGACCTCACTTCTGGTGCCTCTCCTGCCCCTGCTGCCGATGCTGACGCCACTGTTCGCTCACATTGGGCCATACGCAATGCTGCTGCCCGTCTTGCTGTGCGCCGCCACCTGCCTACCACTGAGCATGCACACTTTAGTCAGTACAAGAGTGCTAAGACCTTGTACGACGCTGTAGTTGCACGCTACTCTTCCCCTGCCACTGCTGCACTTAGCCGCCTCATCCTGCCGTACCTCTTCCCTGACCTCGCCGCTTTTCCCACAGTCGCTGACCTCATTACGCACCTGCAAACTAGTGACACTCGCTACCGCGTTGCCCTCCCTCCTGAGTTCTGCGCCAAGAACCCCCCCCCCCTATGTACATCACCCTCTACTACGTAGTCAATCGGCTCCCGGACACCCTTCGCCCGGTCAGAGACCACTTTCTCTCTGTTTGCCCCACCACCCTCACCGTTGACCTCCTCGAGGAGCGCCTCCTAGCAGCAGAGAAGAGCATAGTCGCTGTAGGAGCCTCTCGTGGTGATCCTCGTGCCCCTGTCTTTGAGGGGTGCTCCCCCCCTCCTCTCTTGCTCTTTGTTGCCTCTGCTGCTGCTGCCGACCTTGTTGGTCTTGAGTCGGTCGGTGTGGCGTCTGCCCCTAGCGGGAGACACCGCACTGGCAAGGGCAAGGGGGGCAGGGGCGCTGGAGGAGCTAGCGGGGGCGGTGGAGGCGGTGGTGGAGGCGGCGGAGGGGGTGGGGGTGGCGGTGGGGGTGGTGGCAGGGGTGGGGGCGTCGGTGGCGGCAGTGGGGGCGAAGGCGCTGGCAGAGGTGGCGGTGGGGGCGGAAGTGGCGGAGGTGGCGGCGGTGGAGGAGGCGGCGGCGGAGGAGGTGGAGCTGGTCGGGGTGGCGCTGCGCAGAGGATCAGCTCCGGTGGTGGTCAGCGCCAGCAGCAGCAGCAGCAGCAGCGCACTCGTGAGATCCCCCCCCCTCAGCAGCTTCGTGAGTGGTACGCTGCACGCCAGCGAGGTGGGGTTACTGGTCCGTGCACCTACGTCCTACGCACCGGCGACCGCGCAGGTGAGCCGTGCGGGGGTGCGCACTCCACCCAGCGCTGCTTTGGCCGCCTGACGGACGCTTGGCGTCACCAGATCCCTGAGGCCACTGAGATCCCCTCGCTGGGGCGAGCTGTCTAGGGCGGGAGTAGCTATCTTTGACCTTGACTTTGATGCTATTCTTACTGAGGGTTGTGACTGTTAGTGTTGAGGGTGACTTTTACTGGTGTTTTCCGCCCGACCCGGGCATTGGGACCGCTGCTCTAGGTACTGGTGAGGCTGCTGCTCTAGGTGCTAGCGAGGCTACTGCTCTAGGTGCCAGTGAGTCTGCTTCCTCAGGTGATGGTGAGTCTGCTCTCTCAGGTACTGCGGCGTCCCACACCTTCACCCTTGACTCGGGGGCTTCTCGCTCCTTCTTTCGAGACCGCACCACACTCATGCCGCTTGGTCGGCCAGTTGCAGTCTCTCTGGCAGACCCCTCTGGGGGTCCTGTCCTTGCTCACTTCTCCACTGTCCTCCCGTGTCCGGCTGCCCCCTCTGGCACCCTGTCTGGTCTTTACCTCCCCTCGTTCTCTACGAACTTGGTGAGTGGTGCTGACCTGCAGGATGCGGGGGTTCACCAGTTCACTCCTACGAGCCAGCGAGTGACCCACTGCACGGACGCTCGGACGGGCCGACACTTGGCCACATTCACACGTCGGCCGGGGTCGAGCCTGTACACACTGACCACTGAGTCTC